GCAATATCCAGCTAAGGTGGCTCCAGAAGGAGTCGGGTGCCCGAGGCTAGGCCTGATGCCTGAGATGCCATCGCACACGAGGTCTGCTTGGAGGTGCTCCCCGCATACGCCCCTCCCCTGCAGCCCCACATTTCTCATCTCCAAACTGGGAGTGAAAGCAGCAGTGCTGGCACGGCAGCGGGAAGGTTTTCAGAATGCAACGTTTTGTGTAGTTTTGCTCCTTGAAAGGTATGAACTACTCTGATACGAGGGTCGCTGATTTCTCCTCTGCGCGGTCTCGTGAGCATAGCTGGGGGAGATCTTCAGCTTTGCCCCTCGAGCCGGGAGGACCATGACATGTTTCCCTAACTTGTTTCTTCTAAGGCCCTTCATATAGTGCCTCGCTTACTGTGATAATCCTGCTGCTTAGGGAAAAGAGCAATTCACATTCATGTTTTAGTTTTATTTATTTGTTTATTTTTTGAGACAGAGTCTCAGGAGAGCAGTGGCGTGATCTCGGCTCACTGCCTCCTCCACCTTCTGGGTTCAGGCAGCTCTTTGCCTCAGCATCCTGAGTAGCTCGGACTACAGGTGCACACCACCATGCCCGGCTCATTTTTGTGTTATTACTAGAGACGGGGTTTCACCATCTTGGCCAGGCTGGTCTTGAACTCCTCACTTCATGATCCACCTGCCTTGGCCTCCCAAAGTGGTGGGATTACAGGCATGAGCCACCACGCCTGGCCTCACATTTTTCAAAGAGGAAACTAGGGTACAGATTCAAATGATTTCCCATTTTGATTTTTTGTTTGTTTGTTTTGTTTTTTGAGACAGTGTTACTCTTTTGCCAAGGCTGGAGTGCAGTGGTGCTATCTTGGCTCACTGCAACCTCTGCTTCCTGGGCTCAAGTGATTATTGTGCCTCAGCCTCCCGAGTAGCTGGGATTACAGGCGCCTACCACCACGCCTGGCTAATTTTTATATTTTTAGTAGAGATGAGGTTTCACTATGTTGGCCAGGCTCATCTCGAGCTCCTGACCTGAGGTGATCCTCCCACCTCAGCCTGTCAAAATTCTGGGATTACAGGCATGAGCCACTCTGCCTGGCTTTCTTAGGTTGATTTGTGGTGGAGCTGAGACTCAAGGACAAAGTGGCAAGTTTTTCCTTGTTTGGGCCACCAGGGAGTCAGCAAACCAGGTCCTTTAGTCAGAGGCGTGGGGAGGAGGGAAGTTCAGACCTCCCTCAGAGACACGAGTGGTATCTTGGGTTCCAGTGCTCCCCTCCACAGTGCACCCCCTCCACAGTGCCCGCCTCCACAGTGCACCCCCTCCACAGTGCACCTGCCCTTCCTGCACAGCACCCTGCATGGACAGCTGGAGCAAAACACAGAGACCCAGCTCCGAGGCTGGGGTTAAGTGATGTTTCCATCTTACAGTTGAAACGAAGTTTCAGGCCGGGCAGGTGGCTCACGCCTGTAATCCCAGCACTTTGGGCGGCCAAGTTGGAAGGATTGCTTAGGCCCAGGAGTTTGAGACAAACCTGGGCAGCATGGTGAGACCTCATTTTTACAAAAATAAATAAATAATTATAAGTTAGCCAGGCATGGTAGGGCATGCCTATAGTCCCAGCTACTCAGGAGGCTGAGACAGGAGGATCACTTGAGCCTGGGAGGTCAAGGCTGTAGTAAGCTGAAATTGCACCACTGTACTCCAGCCTGGGCAACAGAGTATGAATCTATCTCAAAAAAAAAAAAAAAAAAGAAAAGAAAAAAGAAAAGAAAGAAAAAAGCTGGGTGCAGTGGCTCATGCCTGCAATCTTAGCATTTTGGAAGGCTAAGGCAGGTAGGTCACCTGAGGTCAAGAGTTTGAAAGCAACCTGGCCAATGTGGTGAAACCCCTATCTCTACTAAAAATACAAAAATTAGCCAGGCATGGTGGCAGGAGCCTGTACTCCCAGCTGCTTGGGAGGTTGAGGTAGGAGAATCAGTTGAACCTGGGAGGCGGAGGTTGCAGTGAGCTAAGATCACACCACTGCACTCCAGCCTAGGCAACAGAGCGAGACTCCATCTCAAATAATAATAATAATAATAAAGTCTCAGGTAAAAGCTCACCAAGTATATATTGCCACAGACAGAATGTTGGCAGGTAATTTGGCAATACCGACCACAAACCTTAATAATGTGCACACCCTTTGGCCCGCAGTTCCACACCTAGAAATACCTCCTCAAGCATCTGAAATGGTGCTGTAAGACGTGAGGATGACATGGGTTCAGGAGCACTGGCTCTCCAGCTGACCTGTGTTTGGGTTCCTCGCCCGGACTCTTCCTGGCGTCTCCCCACCTTGCCTTACCGCAGCTTTAACAGGGGAGACAATCCAGGTGCATATGTGTTGATGCTGTGTGTGTTGTGTGTTGCATGAGGTTTTGCAGACTCTGGATAAGAGGAGAAGCACATTTGGGGTTCTTAGGGACACTAAAAGAGAGGAGTGTCTTGAGGTTGATGGCAAGGGGCAGGCTTACAGAAAGTTCCAGGTTCTTTCCCCAGGGAGCCCTTGTCTGATTGCCCAAGGCCAGCCTGCTAGAGAAGCCACAGCTCTGGTTGTTCCGGATGCTGGGGAAATCAGTGTGAGCACAGCTCCATGGGAACGTGGCGGAGCAGCCACACCAGGCAATCTCGTGAGTTCCTTTGACAGCTGGAGGCTGCGGGGTGAGAGGAAGTGGTGGGGGAAGTGGGGCGGAGGGGCTTGCAGCAGGAGGTGAGGAAACTCCCTCCAGAATACAGACCACTGCGGCCTCTTCTCCATGAGCAGTGGCTCCCCAGCCTCCTTGGTTCTTGAACTTTCTAAAGCGGTTACCTTAGGGCCTGTGTGCTTCATGTTCCCTCTGCCCAGGTCACCTTCAGGTCTTTTCAATGCCGGTTCTCCCTCTTTCTGTCTCAGTTTAGAGGTCTGCCTCCCTGACCTCCCTGAGCCAGTTCTCAGCGTTCTCAGGGGGTCTAATTAGCCTGGCTAATTTTTGTATTTTTAGTAGAGACGGGGTTTCACCATGTCCCCAAGCTGGTCTTGATCTCCTGACCTCAGGTGATCCACCAGCCTCAGCCTCCCAAGGTGCTGGGGTGATAGCGAGAGCCACCGCGCCTGGCCTGTAGTTGTATTTCCTCTTGCGTGCCTGGCCTACTTAAGTGGTTTGTGTAGCTGTTAGAATGTAGATTTCTTAGAGTTGTGTGAATTTGTAATACAGATACCACTGACTCCATTGTCCTCTCACATTTACTGTGAACATTTTCCTAGTGTGTGGGTTTTCATTTTTCATGCCAGGCATGTAACCGTGGGTGTGGTTTTCTGTTCTTTGGCGAGTGAGAATGTGCTTGTGAAAGGGCCTTGGGTCTCTGCTCCAGTCTTGATGCCTCAGCCAGGGGACCTGTCAGAGAGTAGGGATCTTGGCCGGGGATGCAGATGGCACGGGGAGACCCCGACCAGCCCCCTGAGCTGTGGCCACTGCCTTCCGAGCTCACCGGGGTGCTTGTTGCGGTCCTGAGCTGGAAAGGTCTTCTGAGCTGAGGTTGTGCTTGTCTTCCAGACCAAGGCTTGCTGTGTGGGGCTCCCCTGAGCGTGCCATTCACCATTCTGGTGACCCGCAGCCAGCCTTTTCTCCTTCTGACTCAGGGTATTTAAAAATACCCCAGGCTGGGGAATTTGGAGGATTCCATAATTGATCGGTGAGCATTAGGCTCTTAAGAGGCAGAAAAGGCCATTCTGCTATTGAATTGTCCTCTGAAGATTCGTTCACTTCAGCAGTTTCACAGCTACCTCACTGGCAGGCATTGTCCTAGATACTTGGGGTCTAACAGAGACAGGGCTGAGGTTAGAGGTGTGCTCTTCTCTGAGGGGCTGTCAAGAGGGCGTCCCCTTCCCCCTTAGCTGTCTGCCTCTGTCCTGGCAAGGAAGGTTTCCTAGTACCTCCTGAACCAGCAGCCAGGAGACCTGGGTTAGAATCGAAGATTTGAATCCCAGCTCTGCCACTCTGTGACTGATGTAGCCATCTCCTCCGACCTGTGAGCATGTTCATGATCGGGTCTGTTGCTTTGTTCAGCAAGCATGCAACACACACATACGTGTCAGGAGTCCTCACCGGACCGAGCATGGCCACAGCGGTGCCAGGGTCTCATGTCCCTGGAGTGGCATGTGCTTTACGGGTAAACACAGATACTGGTGTCTGTCAGTAAAGCAAGCAGAATGATAAACAAGGCTGAATAAACTGCTGGAGTCTGCAGAGGAATCGGTCATTGATTTTGAATAGGAGCAGAGTGGAGCTTCTCAGAAGATGTGGCCGTGGCAGAGAATGGAGGGATGAATAGAACTCCACGTGGGAACAGCGGATGAAAGAAGAGGGGAGTGGAGAAGGAGAGGGCTGCCCAGCCTGAGGAGCCAGGGAGTGTGTCATCGTCCAGGGCGGCTGCAGTGCCGGGAGAGGGGACAGGTCCAGATGACAAATGTCATGCTTAGCAACCATCAGAGGGTTTGAGAAGGATGCTCAGAGGGGTGTATCTCTGACAGTCTGGGAATGGCCTGCATGAGAACAGAGCCCAGGAAGGAGGAGGTCAGATCCCAGGAGGTGAGGTGTCTGTTGCTCACCACGTAGGTTCTTCGACAGCCACCGATTCCAGTGACAGCGAGCAGGCAGGTGGATTGTCTCCGGTGATCCTCCGTTTCCAGCCCAGGATGGGCCTTTTCTGTCCTGGCGATGGGCTCAGTCCTGGGGCTGGAGCGGGACGGAGGCCAGCAGATGTAGGGCCTTGACAGTCTGTGTGCAGAGCTGGGAGCAGTCCTGACTGTCCAGGTGTTTTGGTTCATTTATTTAACAAGTATTTATTGAGGGCCTTCCACATAGTAGGTATTGAACAGTAAAGTGGATGGCAGGAAGATGATGGCACCCCAAATTTTGGAAGAGCAGAGATTCCTCTCTTTAGGGGCATGTGTGATCGAGGATCGGCGCTAACGTCGGTGTCTGTGTTTCCATTCCAGATGCCGTAGGCCCAGGCAAGCTGCTGCAAAAGACTCATTCTTGGTGGCCCGCAGTGGCCCGCAGTTACCAGCGGCTTTTGAGCTGGGTGGACTCCTGCTAACGCAGCTGGGATACCAGTCTGCTGGGCTCCTCTCCAGGCATCCTCCCCAGCAGCTCCTGCATCCATGGAGGCCCCGGAGGTCCCTGTGGGCTCCCTAATCGACTTTGGGCCTGAGGCACCCACCTCTTCTTCCCTGGAGACACCGCCCCCTGCGTTGCAGGACAAGGATGGCTCCCTAGGGGACGGCGCATCAGAGAGCGAGACCACTGAGTCCGCGGACAGTGAAAATGACATGGGCGAGTCGCCCTCACACCCGTCCTGGGACCAGGACCGCCGCTCCTCCTCCAATGAGTCCTTCTCCTCCAACCAGAGCACCGAGTCTACCCAAGATGAAGAGACCCTGGCACTCAGGGACTTTATGCGTGGCTACGTGGAGAAGATCTTCTCTGGAGGGTAAGGGGCCCGTGTGGACGAGACAGCCTGGCATGGCCACAGGGCCCAAGGGGACCCGCCTCCTGCCCTTGGCTCTGCCTCTCCGCAGGGTGCCACCTGGGGCCAGAGCTTCCATTTCCTCATCAGCCAGGGATGACCACTGCAGGGGCCTCACTCCACCCCAGGCTGCGCGCAGAGCCACGTGGGGAACGTTTAAAGAATACCCAAGTCTGGACTTCACTCCAGACCAGTTACATCAGTTCTCTAGGGTGAGGCCCAGCATCAAAGTATGTGCAGCTCCCAGGTGATTTGGAAGGGCAGCCATGCAGAGAACCCCTGGAGGGACACGCTCGAGTGCCCAGCTCACAGGTTCACATCATCCCCATGAGCTCCATTATTTTCTGTTCGTTTCTTTTATTTTTTTCTTTTCTTTCTTTTTTTTTTTTTGAGACAGAGTCTGGCTGTGTCACCCAGGCTGGAGTGTAGTGGTGCAATCTCAGCTTATTGTAAGCTCCGCCTCTCAGGTTGAAGCGATTCTTGTGTCAGCCTCCCGAGTAGCTGGGATTACAGCCATCTGCCACCCTGCCCAGCTAATTTTTGTATTTTTAGTAGACACAGGGTTTCACCCTATTGGCCAGGCTGGTCTCAAACTCCTGGCCTCATATGATCCGCCAGCCTCGGCCTCCTGAAGTGCTAGGATTACAGGCATGAGCCACCATGCCTGGGGCAGTTCTATTATTTTCTGATGCATGTTGTTCCCAAATTTGTTCCATGCATCCTTAAGTGAGGCTTTGGAAGGGGTTGTCTGTGTGGCAGTCAGCACTTCTGTCTTACTCATTGCTCTGATCACTCCGCCACACTCGTCTCGGCTCTTCATAGCTAAACACAAGGGACACCGTCTCTGCACCTGGGCGTTTGTAGGCTAGCCACTCCCTAGCAGTCCATGTCAGCGCTATAGTTGACTAAGAGGTTGTAGTTATTCACTGAAATTAAATATAGGGGCAACAGAAGATAATAAAGCTGTGGTTACCCATACTTGTGCTCATAATCAGCAGATTCTTTTTTTTAGAGACAGAGTCTTGCTTTGTCTCCCAGGCTGGAGTGCAGTGACACAATCATGGCTCACTGCAGCCTCCGCCTCCTGGGGTCAAGCAGTCTTCCCATCACAGCCTCCTGAGGAGCTGGGACTAGAGGTACATGCCACCATGGCCAGCTAATTTTTTTTTTTTTTTGAGACAGCATCTCACCCTGTCACTCAGGCTTGAGTGCAGTGGTGCAGTCATAGCTCATCACAGCCTCAAACTCATGGCCTCAAGCAGTCCTCCTGCCACAACCCCCCAAAGTGCTGGGATGACAGCTGATTCTGAAGCCACTGTTTGTCTGGGGCCCTTCCCTACACCTCTGGATGACCTTTCTTTTGTGGTTCTTGAGGGTAAAATGAGAGTACTGACAACTGGAGCAGCAGGAAGGGACAGTCTGAGGCTGTGGTGTCCACTGAGAAGCGGGAATCTGCATAGACCTGATCTTTCCCTCCCTGCTTCACTGCCTCTTCACATCTCAGTGGTGGGAAGGAGGACGCATACCAACCCCGGAGCCATGCGTTTCCAGCGTACCCTGTGGGTCTCCCACCATAAGCAGCACACTAGATACAGATGGGCTTGCCGCTCTGTTGGGTGTGGGCCAGCAGTATTGGCATCTCCTGGGAGCTTGTTGGAAATGCAGAGTCTTGGGCCCTGCCAGGCCCCACTGAGTGAGAATGTGCCTTTCACACAGTCATTAGACGGTTCATACACACATCAGTGTCTGAGAGGCACTGGCCACAGCAAAGTTTTCCAGTCTAATTAAAGCAATTAGAATTTGCGGCCAGGCACAGTGGCTTACATCTGTATTCCCAACACTTTGGGAGGCTGAGGCGGGCAGATCACTTGAACCCAGGAGTTTGAGACCAGCCTAGGAAAATAGTGAAACCCCTTCTCTACCAAAAAAACTCCAAAAATTAGCCGGGCGTGGTGGCATGTACCCATAGTCCCAGCTACTCAGGAGGCGGAGGTGGGAGGATCACTTGAGCCAGGAGGGCATAGGCTACAGTGAGCCGTGATCATATCACTGCACTCCAGCCTGGGTGACTATGCCTAGTCCGTTGTTTCCCACTGTGGCTGAAGTCCCTCATGGATACTGGCAAGGGTGGACTTCTCCCTTTTCATTCATGCTTTCCAGTTGGTGGAGACAAGCCTCAGTTTTCTATGTGGTTAGAAAAGGGAACCATTGTATGACAATCCAAATATCTTACTATCTAAAAATGCATTTATGGGCTGGGCACGATGGTTCACACTTGTAATCCAAGCACTTTGAGAGGCGGGCAGATCACCTAAGGTCAGGAGTTCAAGACCTGCCTGGCCAACATGATGAAAGCACATGGCTACTAAAAACACAACAACTAGCCAGTTGTAGTGGTGGGTGCCTGTAATCCCAACTATTTGGGAGGCTGAGGCAGGAGAATTGCTTGATCGTGGGAGGGACAGGTTGCATTGAGCAGAGATTCTGCCACCACATTCTAGCCTGGGTAAGACAGAGCGAGACTCCATCTCAAAAAAATAAATAAATAATAAAATAAACAAAATAAGAATGCATTGATGTTTGATTTGAATGCATTTTAGGAGAGCAGATGTTGCTTCCTACTTGTTTAGTTTCACCAACGCTGAGATGAGGGCGCTTTCTCTGAGCACACCCCGGTTAATGAAAAGGGAGAACGCCCAGAAGTTTGCTCATTTGCCAGGAAAGGCAGTCTGTATTTGCAGCAGCCTGTCAGCAATACGGAATGCGGACACCTGAGTCAGATGCATCTTCACAAGCATTCCAGAAATTACAGCAAAAGCCTGCAGATACTCATTGATCTGATGTTGATATTTAGAGTAGATGAGAACCAAGATGTTTTCTACAAAACCCTTGGTTCTCATCTCATGAGTGAATGAAGATTGCATAAGCCAAGTGATCTTCAGGCTTCTGCTTCATGTTTGAGTCTTTAAATTTGGGGAAGAGTATTGGCCCCTTACCAAGAGTGAGGAGAAGTGGCCTGAGATCGGTGGGTATGTTATTTATCCTAGTGGTGGTGACACCGGGGTGGAGGTCCCCAGTCTCTATCCCTCACACACACAGCAGGGGATGGTCCCAGCCGTGAACAGCCTTGCTCTGGAAATGCAGAAGGATGAGTGAGCACCCGCTGATCAGTGGGAGATGGTTTTCTTCATGGCATCAGACCTTGGCATCAGTATGCTGAGAGAGAGAAAATTCAGGAAGTCTTAGATTCAGGGGCCGGTTCCATGCTGACTTCATCATCAAAAACGAGTGGGAAGTCAGAAAGCTGGAGAACCAAGCCCTGTTAGGGTTCATGCCCTTATCCAGGCTCAGACCTCCCCAGGCGGGGGTCAGGAAGTGCAGGGCAAGGACGTGGAACCGGGAAGCCTGGATGGAACTCTGCTTCTCCACTCTCAGCCTGCCATATGATTCTCCAAGCCAGCTCCTCGCCTTTGAAATACCAATAATACCGTTTCCTCATGGCACTGCCCGGAGGCTGTCAGGAGTCAGGTGCCCGTGCTTGGCTGGAGAGCAGTACTTTGTTAGTTCCTTCTCCTTGCTCTTCCTCTACAGCTCCAGGGGATTGAAAAGGGTTTTTTGTTTGTTTGTTTTTTCCCTCCTCTGTTTTTTTTTTTGTTTGTTTGTTTGTTTTTTTAAGAGAGGACTTAGACCAGGAGGAGAAAGCCAAGTTTGGAGAGTACTGCAGCAGTGAAAATGGAAAAGGCCGGGAGTGGTTTGCTCGATACGTGAGTGCCCAGGTAAGGGAGAGGTGATGGGGACGATGGGCATTTACTCTTAAGGAAGATTCTTAACAGAACAAATTGTGAAGAATCTTGATGTATAACAAATTTCACCTTATCCCTATAATGACACTCTGGAGAAAAGGGTCAAGGGAAATGACCCAAAAGAAAAAAAAGTTAAATTTACCCAAAAATGTTCTGAAAAGGAGTGTTTAGAATAGTGAGAAACAGTTTGGGTATGGTGGCTGATGCCTGTAATCCCAACAATTTGGGAGGCCAAGGCGGGAGGATCGCTTGAACCCAGAAGTTTGAGACCAGCCTGGGGCAGCATAGTGAGTCACTCTCTCCTTCCCCCATGTCTAAAAATTACAAAAGAATAGTGAGAAACAGGAAATAGCTCATTCGGACATCGAACTTTAAGGGAAAGAGTAAGAAACTGGGCTTTCAACTTCATGAAATTCCAGAAAAGCTCGTTTTTTAAAGGCAAGCATGTGAGTTATGTGCATGCATATTTTTATTAACCCACAATACTGGGTTTTTGTTAAAAAGAAATATGAAAAAATTTAAGACCATGACAGCCATGTGATGAACAGTATATTAATGAAGTTTAGGAAAGAATTAAATTTTGTAAATTTCTGAGTGGCCTAAGTTCTTAGTGTTTAAGTATTTTATTAGAAATTATATACTTTTCATGGAAAAATTAGAAAATGCAGATAAGCAAAGAGAAGTTAGTTACCCACAGATCCACAGTCTGGAAATAGCCATTGTTGTCATTGTGGGGTTTTTGTCCCTTGTAGCCTTCCGTGTGTGGGTGTATATGAAGGTCCTACTTTGAAAAATCTGGGAAGGACCCCGAGGGGAACACTTGGGTGTGCCCTGCCCAGGGATGGTTGGGTGCAGGTGGCTGCACTCTGCCCGAGTCTGGCAGGAGGGCCGGGTTCTATAGTGCAGAGGCAGCGGCCATCCTGGGCCCCCATCCCAGCTGCGTTTAGAAACGCTCAGAGTGGAAAGCCTGCAGCTTTGCTGAGTGCCGCCTGTGTCACCTCAAACCTCGCTGATGTGTCTGGCCTCTTTCTGGACAGCGCTGCAACTCCAAGTGTGTCTCCGAGGCAACCTTCTACCGCCTGGTGCAGTCTTTCGCAGTGGTGCTGTTCGAGTAAGTAATGCCATTGCTCAAAGGCTTTGTCCTGGCAAGCTCCTTTTCCCTCCCTCCCTCCCTGCCCAGCCGTGTCATAACCCAGCTGTGAGTCATATCCACAGTAGTCATCAGGATGCAATTGCTCAGCTGTACCCAGCATCAGCTAAAAGGCACAGTCGTGACCAGCATCTCATGGGAGCGGGGCTGGCGGTCCTTAGCCGGCAGCAGAATGAGAGGACTGCAGCTGGGTGTGAGGAGCGTCCTCCGTGCGGGTCCTCAGGGCCACGTCGTGATGATGTACTGGGGCCCTACCCTCCAGAGATCTGGCGCTTTCTCCGGTTCCTGTTGTGAAGTGCTTCAGACTCAATAACCGCCCCCGCACCACGAGCAAATAAACACTTAATCATACGTTGGGACAGTTGTGGCCTGCCCTGCGTGTGCTGATGAGGCACTTCTGGGGCCTTTGATCACAGAAGCCCGTGGCAGGCAGTGATGGGTGGTGGAAAGGGCATGGCCACCAGCTGGAGATTTGGGGCCAGTCCCATCTCTGACCCCACTTACCTGTGAGATTAGGGACCCAGACTCCATGATGCACAGACCCCTTCTCAGGAGCATGACTCTCTGGGGTCACCAGACCAGCTTCATGCCTCCAAAGTATGAAATGGAGGGGATACCTCTGGGCCTTGGAAAGACTGGGCAGTGGGCTGACCAACCTGGAACCTCAAGAGGCAGATTCTGGGGCTGGGAGCCCTGATCTGGGCATATCTGCACCCCACTATCCCTGTTGTCTGCAGGCCGCCTCCAGGCAGCCCCTGCTCTGGACCCCGCGCCCTCTCCTGTTCCTAGCTCCTCCCATCAGCAGCTCCCCTCATCACTGTGTTTTTGTCCTTCCAAGCCTGAAAAATCTCCCTTCTTTACTTCCCCATCTCCCAACCAAAAGGGAGCTGCTCTCTTGAGCCTCTTTCTTTCTTTTCTTTTCTTTTTTTTTTTTTTTTTTGACACAGGATCTTGCTCTGTCACCCAGGCTGTAGTGCAGTGGCGCAATCACAGCTCACTGCAGCCTCAATCTTCTGGGTTCAGGGGATCCGCCCATCTCAGCCTCCCAAATAACTAGGACTACAGGTGCATTCCACCACACCTGGCTAATTTTTAATTTATTTTTTTCTTTTTCTTTTTTTTTGAAATAGGATCTCACTCTGTCTCCCAGGCTGGAGTGCAGTGGTAGCTCACTGCAACCTGCACCTCCCGGGTTCAAGCAATTTTCATGCCTCAGTCTCCCAAGTAGCTGGAACTACAGGCGCATGCCACCACACCTGGCTAATTTTTGTATTTTTAGTAGAGATGGGTTTTGTTGGCCAGGCTTGTTCCGAACTCCTGTCCTCAGGTGATTCGCCTGCTTCAGATTCCCAAAGTACTGAGGTTACAGGAGTGAGCCACCACGTCTGGCCATATTCCATAGACAGACACACACACACACACACACACACACACATATATACACACACATACATGTATACACATATATACACACATATATACACATACACATATGTATATACACATACACATATATGTACACACACATGTATGTATGTATATATATTTTTTTAGTAGAGACGAGGTCTCTCTATGTTTCCCAGGCTGGTCTCGAACTCCTGGGCTCACAGGGTTCTCCTTCCTCAGCCTTGTGAATTGCTAGGATTGCAGGTGTGCCCCACACCCAGCCTGCCCTCCTGAGTCCCAGTTCTCCTGCATCTTCATGTCTCTCCCCTTTCTCTCTTGTCCTTTAAACTTGGGCATATACTGGAAGAAGAAGACCAACCAAAGGAAGATTCCTGTTTTTCTTGCTCTTTCTCAGGATACCCCCAAGTCCGAGATCCATTTCCCCTCTGGGGTCTGGGCTTCAGAGCTGGCCAGGGGAGGGGGCTAAGAAACCTTGACTGAAAGAGGCTGAGTGAACCCTCACCTTCCGCCAGGAGGGCACTGGTTTAAAACAGACCCTCCAGATTGCCTTTTATGAAACATTCATGCAGTTAAGACACCTCAGTTTCCAAACGTTTGCATCATAGGCATTTCCATGGACTCCTGATGTGCATAATTCTAAATCTCCATTTTCTTTTCTTTTCTTTTTCTTTTTTTTCCCCTTAATTTGCACTAGGCTAAAAGTAATCCTCCATTTTTCTTTGCGTTTTTTGTCTTACATATGTAAAATTGGGGAAGGAGGGAGTTAAAGTCCTAACCCTGCCAAAACACAAAACCTCTTCCCATCACTTGGCCCCTGAGCATATATACGTGTGTATAGTCTAAGAACAAAGTGAAACAGAAACGCTTTTAATATTTAGACAATATGGGTTTTTTTTAAGTTTTTGCTTTTAGTCTTTTATAGTTTTATTACCAGTTCAGTTGATTAGTTTTTTATGTAAAAAGATAAAATGGCCCTTAATACCACTGTCTAGATAATTTCTTTTGACTTGTAATAATTGTCCATGGTTAAAACCTAAAGAGGGAAAAAAAAAGTGTAAAACGGATCAGGATAGAAAGGCTAAGAAGCAGCCAGGCACAGTGGCTCACGTCTGTAATCTCATCACTTTGGGAGGCCAAGATAGGTGGATCACCCTGAGGTCAGGAGGTCAAGACCAGCCTGACCAACATATAGGAACACCATCTCTACTGAAAATACAGTATTAGCCAGGTGTGGTGGCACATGCCTGTAATCCCAGCTACTCAGGAGGCCAAGGCAGGAGAATCACTTGAACCAGTGATTCACTGGAGGTTGCAGTGAGCTGAGATCGCCACTGCACTCCAGCCTGGCAACAGAGCAAGACTTCGTCTCAAAAAAAAAAAAAAAAAAAAAAAAAAAAACAGAGATAAAGAAGCCTGCGTAGTGGCTCACGCCTGTAATCCAAGCACTTTGGAGGCCAAGGTGGGCGGATCACCTGAGGTTGGGAGTTCAAGACCAGCCTGACCAACATGGTGAAACCCCATCTTTTTTAAAAAAAAAAAAAAAGAAGCCTGAAATCCAAAGGAATGGCCCCACCCACAACCAAGAGCTGCCGAGTAAGAGGCTCCACCTCCTTCCTCACCGTCCCCTGGTTGCTATGGGCGGGAGCCTGAGAGCCGGGATGTGGGGAAGGTCATCCAACTTACTGCTACTTCTCGAGACAGCGAGGGCTGGAGTGCCGGGTGGCCTGGGCCACAGGTTTGCACTAAGACTTGAGCCCCAGCTCCTCCTGGCTCTGCTCCTAAGTGTTGAGCTGAGCTTCCCGCGCCTTGGCTTTCACTTTTCCAGTGAAAGAAGCCGGGCAGGCAGACCGCAGACTCCTTCCTGTTCACAGTCAGCCCCGGGCTCTGTGCTGTGGGCAGCTCTCCCGATGGAACCCGGGGATAGTTCTGTTGCTTCTCCAGTGGAGAAGGTATAATTGGGACGCGTGCGTTAAGTGTCTCGCGGCGTCTGGCTGACTTGCAGGGAGAAGCAGGTGGAGGAGGCTTCAGCCATGGGCCCTGCCTCTTGTTTCAGGTGCCATCAGATGGATGACTTTGGGCCTGCCAAGAACCTCATGACCATGTGCTTCACCTACTACCACATCGGTAAGATACGGTGGGCTGATGTGGGGTCACCCTGAGGCTCGTCAGCTGACATCGTGCTGTCAGAGGAAGCTGCTGTTAGGGCAGAGTGAGACTTCTAAAAAAGGAAGAGAAAGCACGTCCGAATCGTGTGGGGCGGGAGGCTGACAGCCCAGGGTACGCAGGAAACTCCTGAGCTGTGAGGCGATGAGGAAAGAGACGTGGGGCAGGATGTCACGCGGTGGAGACAGGGACTGCTGGATGTGAAGAGCCCAGTTTTACGTTTCAGCAAAACAGGGCACACTCGGTTGTTGGAGGGCGGTAGGGAGGAGCCGCTTAGGATCTGAAGCTCAGAGAGTTCCTGGGATGGGCTGGACATGGCTCACGAGGGGTGTGGACTGTTGATGCTGAGGCTGTGGCATCGCTTCCACCTCATTGCATTGGAACTTGGGCTTCCTGTGTGACTCTCCCTGGGCTGCAGCAACAGGACTTATTCAGGCCACCCTAAATGGAAGGTCGTTGGAAGCTTCCACCTAGACTGAAGCTGGGCAGGGAGGTGCTGGATCACAGCCCCCCTTGCTCTCCTCTCTTGGGACCCGCGTGCTCGATTTTGGGGTGTATGTGACCCTCCCCCTCCCACAGCCATCCTCTCCGCACCCCTTGGTTCAGTTGGTCTGACTGCCATGGCCGGTGTCCCAGCAGGCAGGCCCTTCCTGCCAGGCCCTTCGTCGGCTGCTTCGGGTGGGACAGGAGCCCCTGGTGCAACCTGTGGCTCTTCCTTTTCAAATAACAGATAGACACATAACGAGTAGATGCTGCTTCCTGAGACAGGGCTACGCACAGCGGCTTGAGCTTGTGAGGACGCCCTGCCGGGGTCTGCAGAGGGCCTTTGACCTGTAGTGGGCCCTGGGAGCTGTGGGGATGCCTCATCCTGTGGGGGTGCCAGGGCCTCATGTCCATCCTCTGGCTAAGGGAGTTTGGGTACTGCCCAGACTCCTCCTCCAGGGCCCCTCCTGCTGTCTCCACACTCCCATTCCAGGGGCTGGTGCCCAGCTGGCTCCTGCCTCTCTGGCGCTGGCGTGGTCAGGCCTCTGCCTTTGCCTCCCTGTAGACCCTGTCACCTGGGCCAGGCTTCTGCCTGCATCTTACTCCCTCCCTGCTCCTGGTGGCTTCTCTGTGCACAGCAGGTACTAGGGGGTGCTCATGGGGAGCAGGGCCCCCACTTCCTCATCCTGGGCCGGCTGAGCCTGTACCACCCGTGCCCTGGGCTGAGGACGGAGGCTCCCGTGTCCCCACTACCCAGGACCCCTGCAGGCCTCCGTCTGGGCCTCTACGGTTAGCAGGCGTAGACCCTGGCCTCACTGGTCACGTCTTGTTCCCTCTCTACAAGGAAAACCACAGCTACAGCCCCCAGAGTCCCGGGAGAAGCCCGCGGGCAGCATCGACTCCTACCTGAAGTCCGCAAACAGCTGGCTGGCGGAGAAGAAGGACATCGCCGAGCGCCTGCTGAAGAACACCTCGGCCAGGACCGAGAACGTCAAGGGCTTCTTTGGGGGGCTGGAGACCAAGCTGAAGGGGCCCCTGGTCAGGAAGAATGAGTACGTGTGGTCTTGGGGTCCCTCTCACCTGCCGGGGACTGGGGGAGAGGGTGGCGTGGAGCTCAGGCAGGGGTGGCAGGGAGGGTGCGGGAGAGGTCCAGAGACTGCCAGGAGCACAGTGCAGCCCAGCCGCCCCCGCCCCACCGCTCTCTGTGCTCTGTAAAGGCGAGCCTCCCACCCACGTGCAGAGATGTTCCTGGGGCCACACTCCCTGAAACTGATGAGGAGCCCAAGGGATTGTCAGACGGCAGAGGGAACTGCAGCCCCTCCCCTCTGTCCCCTCTGTCCTGTCTGTTGCCTCCATCCCCTGGCTGGACCAAGAGCGCGTGCTTGTGGAACACGGTCTTGAGTCGCAGGAGAAAAACACTGTCCCCAGGAGAGCAGGGCTGTAGCAGGCACTCCAGGAACCCCTTTGGGGACGGGCACATCAGAAGTAGGCACATAGAAGCTGCAACCTCCACAGGGAGGAGGGCTGCGGCAGCCAGAGGGAGCCCCTGGGGTCCCCTGTTCCCACCCACGGCTGGGCCGCAGCCAGGTGCCTTGGCCTTGGCCGCCTCCTCTGCCCCATTCAGCTTTGGATTCAAAGAAAATGACATCAGGAAACATCAATGCCACATTTCCTCAATTTTGCAATGCTGGCAGTTGACCAATAGAGCCGGGATTTCATAAAAAGCTTTTGAGAGCGAGCCGTGTTAAATGTGCTCAGTGCCACCTGAGGGAAGTGGGAAGTGCGTCTTTGATTTGAGAAAGTGTGTTGTGAGTCGCATTTGTCATCATGGTGCCTTCTCTCCCTCAGGGAAGACGAGAACAAATCCCAGGAGAAGCAGCCCAGGGCTGGTGAGTCTGCCCAGGCAGCAGGGGGAGATGCCCGGCCCACACCCCTCGGCCAGCATACAAGCAGGCGCACGGCCTCCGGGTGCTCTCTCAGGAGTCCTCATTGCTGGGTGGAAATAGCCTCATTACGGGCCATGGCCGGCAGAAAAGCCGTGGTCTGTGACCTCCGTAGAAGCTGGCTGCTGGAGGCTGTCGCCTGGGGACTGCAGCACGCAGCCAGAGCCACTTTCAGTCTTTCTCTGTCCTCCTGCAGGGACTGTGTACAGCCCGGAGGACGAAAAGAAGGGGGAGAAGATCTACCTGTACACACACCTGAAGCAGCAGCCCATCTGGTAAGGCCGGGCCCGCCGCTCCCGCCACCCTTACTTCCGGGGCCAGCAGTCACTCCCCGCGATCACTTCTAGCTGCCTTCGTCCCCACCAGAATGGCAGAATTCTCCCACCTCCAGAGTGGCAGAATAAAAAGATGAACACTCACGGGTGTTGGTAAGGATGTGGAGGAATTGGAGGTCTCCTGTAGGCCGGTGGGAATGTAAATGGAGCGGCCGCTGTCGGAGACAGCCTGGCACTTCCTTTAAAGGTGGAACAGAGTTCCTCTGTGACCCGGCAGCTCAACCCCTAGGAGTCGCCCAGGAGAAACAAAAACATGTGTCCTCACAAAACCTTGTCCACAAATGTCTGCAGCAGTGTCGTTTATTATGGCCCCAAAGTGGAAACAGTCTTCATGGCTGTCCGCTGATGAATGGGTAAACAGAATGTGGTCCATGCACTGCATGGAATATTACCCAGCCCTGAAAAGGAATGGCGTGCTGCTCCATGCTGCAGCGTGGATAGACTGGGAAGCATCGTGAAGCTCAGTGGAAGAAGCCGGACACGGAAGCCCATGCATTATACCATTCCTGTGAAGTGTCCACAACAGCTGCATTCCTAGAGACAGGGCAGGCGACTGACTGCTGGGGCAAAGGGCAGGAAGTGGGAGCCGGAAGTGGCTGCTGATGGGGATGGGCTTTCTTTATGGGGTAAGAGAATATTGTAGAAATGGTGGTGGCCACACAACTCTGTGAATACACTAAAAATCACTCAGTTGTATATTTTAAGGGTGAATTTTTTTTTTTTTTTTTTTTTTTTTTTTTTTTTTTTTTTTTTTGAGACAGAATCCCACTCTCACCAGGCTGGAGTACAGTGGAGTGATCTTGGCTTACTGCAGCCTCTGCCTCCCAGGTTCAAGTGATCTCCTGCCTCAGCCTCCCAAGTAGCTAGGACTATAGGCTTATGCCGTCATGCCCGGCTAATTTTTTGTATTTTTTAGTAGAGATGGGATTTCACCAAGTTGACCAGTTTGCTCTCAATCTCTTGACCTCGTGATCCGCCTGCCTCGGCTTCCCAAAGTGCTGAGATTACAGGTGTGAGCCACCGTGCCCAGCCTAGAGGGTGAATTTCATGGCATATGAATTATATCCTAATTAAGCTATTACATACATATAAACGAATGAAGGTTGTGGTTGAAATGTGAGACCACTGTTGCAGGGGAGATCTTGCCCACTCTGGCATATGGCCCAGCTCTGCAGACGGTCATTGCACTGCTTTAGTCTCTGTGAAGCCTCTCCCCACCGTGTTTTAGGGAGCTCTGCTAGCACCTGGAATCAGTGTCAGACACCCCCTCCCTGCCCTGAGGATCACAGTCGGCTGTGCTGCATTTTGCTTGTAACCTAGCAAGGACTGCGTGAGGACCTTCGGCAGGGAGTGCTGCAGAGACCCAGAGGACAGAGGGCAGGCTGGAGCTGTCAGGAAGGCTGTTCAGGAGGCTGGACCTGGTTCCTGTGGAAGCAGACAGAGGGGAGAAGCTGGCCGGCTGTGTCCCGCCACCTGGAGTTTAAGCTCAGCTCCTCTGTCCTTGACTTCATTGCTGTCTTTTCATTGTCACTTGGCAAACTTTCTTGTGAAGGGCCAGATAATAAATATGTTAGAATTTGTGGGCCAGATGGTCTCTGCTGCAGCTATGCCACTATGCTGTTGTAGCGTGAACACCACCAGAGGTGTTGCATAAATGAATGAGCATGGCTTGTTCCAATAAAACTTTATTTACAGAAACAGGCTGCCGGCCCGCTTCAGCTTACACACCATAGTTTGCCAACCCCTGATGTGCTTTAAGAATTTTTCTGGGCCGGGCGCGGTGGCTCACGCCTATAATCCCAGCACTTTGGGAGGCCGAGGCGGGTGGATCACAAGGTCAAGAGATCAAGACCATCCTGGTCAACAAGGTAAAACTCCGTCTCTACTAAAAATACAAAAATTAGCTGGGCACGGTGGTGCGCGCCTGTAGTCCCAGCTACTCGGGAGGCTGAGGCAGGAGAATTGCTTGAACCCAGGAGGCAGAGGTTGCAGTGAGCCAAGATCGCGCCATTGCACTCCAGCCTGTGTAAAAACAACCAAGAATTTTTCTGCTGGGCGCTGTGGCTCATGCCTATAATCCCAGCACTTTGGAAGGCTAAGGCAGGCAGATCACTTGAGATCAGGAGTTCAAGACCAGCTTGGCCAACATGGTGAAACTCTGTCTCTACTAAAAATACAAAATTAGCCAGGCGTGGTGGCATGTGCCTGTAATTCCAGCTACTCAGGAGGCTGAGGCAGGAGAATCGGTTGAACAGACGAAACGGAGATTGCAGTGAGCCAAGATTTGCACCACTGCGCTCCAGCCTGGACAACAAGAGCAAAACTCGGTCTCAAAAAAAAAAAAAAAAAAAAGAATGTTTTTCCTCGAGTGCTCAAGTGTCCCTCTGAACGTTAGTTTGCTCGGCACATGGCATGTCCCTGCCGGGTTCCCATTTATGTTACTAGACCCCATTGTAGAAAAGCACATCTTCCCAGCCCTCTGCTTCCTCTTGGGAGTCCCAATGGGAAAGGCAGAAGAAAACGTCCCACTTCTGTGTCCTACAGATGGTGGCTCCGGCTCTGGCCGCTGGCTGTCTCCTGCAGCCAGGGTTATAATAGCCTTCCCCCCAACTTGCGCCATCCCTCCCGAGAGAGCTGCACAGCTGCAGCCAGAAGCCCCAGGGAAACAGCTTCATTTAGATCAGGTCACATGCTCGGTGTTTCCTTCTCAGCACTACCTCTGAGACTTCAGACGCTCAGACAGGTTGAGACACAGCTCTTGCTTATCCCTCAAGGCCCACGGCCCGGGTCCTTCCACCTCCCCTTGGAGAGGGCTGACGCGGGGCTCTGTCTTGCAGGCACACGCTGAGGTTCTGGAATGCAGCCTTTTTTGACGCTGTCCACTGTGAGAGGACAAAGCGATCTCCCACCACCAGGTAGGAGCAAAGTGTGGCCCCATTTGGCCTCAGGAAAAAGGACCAGGGAGTGGCTTTATTTCCCGGTTTCGGAAGAGGAGAGCAGAAGAGCAGCTGAGTGGACCTGTCTGTTTTTCCTTCACCCCTGTGGCCCTGGTGCCCTGCAAGCCGCCTGAAGGCTCACAGCTTCATGGGGGGTGCTCAGCTTGCATGAGCGCTTTCTGTCCTGGGGCTCTGGCATGACTTGGCCTGACCCTCCTAAAAATGCAACCTCCCACTGAGACCATCAGGACCTCCCCTCCCCGGCCCACCCTGCTGTTTGCTGTACAAAATCAGCATCCTGGGGACCAACCCTTAGAGCAGAGTCCTGGGAGGAAGGGCTGGCCAGCCCCCGAGACTGTGCCCTTGAGAGCTGGCACCTGGAGAATGCTCACCTCGTGGTCTGCAGCCTGACAAGACCTTCCCGGCTTCGATGAGGCCACCTCACACTTGGTGGTGGCAGGGGAGGGCTGGCACCCACTCCCTGGGGGCGATGCTGCGTTCTCTCTCTGGCCATAGCAAGGAAAGGTGCCATCCACCGTGTGCAGTGATGTGACAGCAAGGGATGGCAGCCCCTGCGGGAGCCCCTTCCAGTCATGGGACTAAAGTCTCTGAACCTCTCAGGGCCCTGGTCTCCTTGTTAATAAAGCACATTCCTCCCTCTGTAACCCCAGAGAGACCCCCTACTCTCAACCCTTGTTGGGAGGGTGAGCAGATGGCTGCTGTTGGGGTGACGTATCTAGTCTACCAGCACTTGGAGTGTCTCAAGAGAAATTCTTCCCTCTGGGGGCAGCTTAAACCATACTGGGGGCGGGGGGCCCAGAGCATTCTGCCATGGCCGAATTTCCTGGGGAGGCAGAGGGGCTCGCGGAGAGGGAAAGACACTGAGACTGCCTGAGGACCCTCGAGAGAGACCCCGCTCTGCCAGGACACCAGGATGAGGGAAATGCTTAGATGCCTCTAGGCGGGTGGGCGTTGCCTCTTTAGTTCTCAGACTTCTAGGAAGTGAATTTATTTCGAATACCTGTCTCTCTCTGTCCCGCTCCGTTTCTGCCTGTAATAACCCTCCTTCTCTGCTTGTTCTCTTTTGACCATCCACATATCTTGCATGACTTTGACATGTTCCTTTGTTTACCTGTTTCTGCTGCCGCTCCAGAGGGGATGCTGGAGAGGAGGAGGAGAAGAGGTGTGTGTGTCCACGTGACTTTGTTCCATTTTACAGTGCGGGCTCCTGCGAAGGCCGCTGCAGCGTGGGGGCTATGCGCCGTGCCGAGCTGCTGCAGCGGGCACAGTCCAGACGCAGGTGCAGCCTGGCGGCCAGCGGGGAGGGCGGCCCTGGGGAGGTGAGGCCGGCGCTAGGGCAGGCTGGCGACACGTCCCAGAACTGGGCAGGCGGGAGCCTCCTGAGGCCACAGCACTCCAAAATAGTCAGAAAACAAATGTGACACCTGGAGACGCCCTGGCGACAGCTTGCGCTCAGAGGAGCAGAGGCAGTGATGTTGGGGAAAGCCGGCGCCAGTTGTGAGCCAGCTGTGCTCTCCACCAGCCACTCTGGCCCCTTCTGAGCAGACCTGGCAGCCTCGCCCTCGGCCTCTCTGTGCAGGCTGGAGAAGTGGGTCCCGGTTCATCTGGGAAGCTGCGAGGGGGGGGTGCAGAGCCTCTCCTGTTTTCCACACCACCCACCGTCAGGGGTGTTGGGACCACTAGGTTGAGGGAGGCACGGAAGAAAGACGGCACTCCCACTTTTCCAGTCACTTGGGGATGTGGGTGCCAGGGGGTCCCCAAGGAAATCCTAGAACGGGGCTGTCTCCTGCCAGCCCACAGAGGGGTCTGACTCTCCCTGTTTACCTTTCGGTCGGCTAGAATCCTTTGTGATGTGTTTGTAGAGCTGCCAGGCTGCCTCTTCAAACAAAGTCCCGGATAGAATGTCTCTTTCAGTGGAGGATTCACGAAGCTGCCTCCTCTAGTCAGTGACACGTCTGTAGTGTTTCCGTCAGTAGCTCTTGAGTTTCTTGTGCAGACTTACCTATAGCTTGCAAGGGAGCGCTTAGGCCTAGCAAACACCTCCTTTCATGAACAAAGCCTCTGGGTTTTCACAGACTCTCTGGGTGACCGTGTGATTAACCAGACTTCTGGAGCCAGTCAGCCAGAAAGTCCTGGCCCAAGGAGGGCTGGGAGCATCCCAGCGTCCTCAGAGAGCTGGCTGGTGCTGCGGGGGAGGTGTGGCCTGTCCTGAGCACAGCTGAGGGGACCGTGGCCTCCTGAGCCTTCTCACCAGGGCAGATCAGCTCTGACCACACAAAGCTTTGCACCAGCTCCTCGTCTCTGAGGGCCCCTGGGCCTTCCCCGGAAGAAGGCAGAGTATTGCTTTGAGTTTGAAGCAGGAGGCAGTGGGCAGGGGGCGAGGTTGCCTCCAGGTTCCCAGCAACCTCAGGCCTCCAACGTGACATCTCTTTTTTGGTAACCTCTGCTGACAGCGAGGTGCCATTATCATCCTCTGCCCACAGAGGCAGACATTTCTCCATTTCAGAAACTTTCCCCTTCAGCAGGCAGGCAGTCCTGTCCAGATTCCCGCCATGGCAGCGAAGACGTATGTCCAGCTCGCTGTGCAATGTCAAGAGCTTGATCAGTTCTGGAAACTGAACTTCAGATGGAGCCTTGGTCTGTTGCGCAGGCTGGAGTGCAGTGGTGCCGTCGCAGCTGACCACAACCTCCACCTCCCAGGTTCAAGTGATTCTCCTGCCTCAGCCTCCGGAGTCCTGGGGTTACAGGTACCTGCCACCACTGCTGGCTTATTTTTTTTTTTCCTTTGACATGGAGTTTTGCTCTGGTTGCCCAGGCTGGAGTGCAATGGCATGATCTCGGCTCACCGAAACCTCCACCTCCTGGGTTCAAGCGATTCTCCTGCCTCAGCCTCCCGAGCACCTGGGATTACAGGCATGTGCAACCACACCCAGCTAATTTTGTATTTTTAGTAGAGACGGGGTTTCTCCATGTTGGTCAGGCTGGTCTCGAACTGCTGACCTCAGGTGATCCACCTGCCTCGGCCTCCCAAAGTGCTGGGATTACAGGTGTGAGCCACTGCACCTGGCCTAATTTTTGTATTTTTAGTAGAGACAGGGTTTTGCCATGCTGGTCTTGAACTCCTGACCTCAGGTGATCTGCCCACCTCAACCTCCCAAAGTGCTAGGATGACAGGCGTTAGTCACTTTCTTCAGACATCAGGTTAAATGTCCCAGTTTTCGTCCTCACCATGGCAAGAAGAATCGTCTCCTCACCTGGCTCAGGAAGAGGAGGGGTCAGGGCTGCTGTGCTCCACAACCTCAAGGGCGCCGTTCCCGTGAGGTCTGGGGTTGCGCAGGGCCCGACCTGCCCAACTGCACAGCAGGCCTGGGAGTGGTGAGGGCTTTATGTGTCTGCACAGTCCTCAGGGCGGCTCTTCAGGGGGAAGACAGTAGGAAGGAAATGGGATGGACTCCGCGGAGTACCTGAAAGTCTAGTCTGCTGTCTTCAAGGAGTGACCTTTGCCGGTCACTCCCATCATGCCCTGATGTCCGGTGACCCCTGCTGAGCTGCAGCAGCGCCAGTGACCTCTCGTGGGCCGGACAGGTGGAGAGGAGCCAGGAGTTCATGTTCCTTCGTTTTGTTTCTCTTCCTCTGGCTTCTCCATGACCCCAGCCTCTCACCCCTCATACCATCCTTCTTCCCTTCCTTTGATCTTCCTCTCAACCTTCTTTTAGTCACTCATCCATCCAGTTTTCTTCTTACGGGGAAATGGGCTCAAATTAACGTCTCCACATTTGCAGCTGCTCCTGCAGGTAGCTTCTCAGATGGACGTGGTGTCCGGGGAGCCGTGTAAGGGTCGGAGGCCCCAGGCCCTGGACGGAGGGGCCCCCCCGGCCAAGGAGCGGGGAAGGAGCTGGCAACCCAGAAAGGCTCTGTGGCAGTGAGGGGTGGGGAAGAGGTGGGGAGCCCCCTTGTTCTGCCCAGACGGGTGAAGGATCAGCCGTGCTCCCCTCGAAGCCTGTGGCCGGTGAACGCTCAGAACACCCTCCCACCCCAGGCCCTGTGTGGAGAACGCGTCAGGGTCCCCTGCTGGCTCCCGACGCTCATGCAGACCTCGGTCGATGCTGTGTCGTTGGGTTTTCAGCACTTCGTTCTCACACCTGGGTGCTCTCTTGGCCATGGTCTGCGGCATTCACAGGGCCACAGTCAGGCCGGCAGGAAGAGCGGGGGTCTGCTCTGTCATTTAGGGAGTGGACTAGAGAGGGAGTTGAGGGCCTCAGGAAAGCCATCCTGGAGAGACTGCAGCGGAGCAGGGCACAGCACTCTGCAGACAGGGGACAGTGTGGCCCTCAGCGCCCGTGGCCTCTGTCAAAGCTGCCATCTGCAGCTGGCCCCAGGAGACACAGGCATGAGTCTGAGAACGTCCCCTGGGCCAACAAGGCCTGCAGGTCCCTTCTCTTTCTGGAGGTTTCTCCCCCTGGGATGGGCCCAGGCCCCACTCTCCAACCATGGTGAAGCCCTGGGGCCGGCCTCGCTGCCTGCAGAATGCCTGGGTAGACATGTGGTGCTCTGCGCCTTTGGGGCCGTAAAGAACACTTTAGTTTCCACATCTCTTTATCTTGTGAAGAGTAAGGTGAATGTTGGGGTCCCCAAGCGTGGTGTCAGGATCCCAGCAGGCCTTGTGGAAAGGCCCAGCACACGGCTGTCCAGTGAAGGGCATTCCCCCTTTCCCGCGGGGGGGCGTGCATGGTGCTGCCAGCACCATCGGGTCACAGCAGGGCGAGGAGCCGGGGCAAGGAGAGCACTGTCTGAGCCCTGCTCCTGTCACCTCCTGTGCTTGCAGGGAGAAGTGGTGCCACATGACCCAGGAGGAGCGTGACGACAGCCTCCGGTTCAACGAGAACATCACCTTTGGGCAGCTGGGGTAAGGGCTGGAAGTGGGAAAGGGGAAGGGGAGCCAGGGGGAGGGCCCGCCCTGTGAGCTGTCCCTCCCGATGTCACACCCTGGAGTGTGATGCCAGCCTGCTGTGAGGTGTGTTCACACTTGGCCTCCATGCCAGCTCATAAGTAATCCGCATCCTACACGACCCCTGGTGGCGGCAGTGCCGCACTGAGAGTCGCCGGTGCCTAATTAGGCAGCAGTACTTTTCAATTTTTGCCGACGATTCCAGGCAGGCCATGGTGAGCATCCCAGAGACAAGGGCCCAGCTCCCTGACCCTTTTCCCAGGAGGCCGGTGGGTGATGCTCTGGGGGTTTCTCCTGCAGCACGTTCACGCACAACATGCTGGCCTTCGGCCTGAACAAGAAGCTGTGCAATGACTTCCTGAAGAAGCAGGCTGTGATTGGCAACCTGGACGAAGGTATGTCTGCGTAGGCCGCTGGCGGGAGGCAGGCAGGGCTGGGTCCGGAGGCAGGGCCGGGGTTCAGAGCCAGGGCTGCGCCCGCTGGTGCTTCCACACTGCCGGGAGGTATGCCGTGTGGCCATCGGGAATGTGGTGCTGAGCTCTCTGGGTGGTCGGTCCTCCTGTCTCCCCGGTCTGTGCAGATAGATGCACAGGACACCTCTCATTCCATTTGGAATCCATTTCTGCTAGATGGGATTGCTGTGGTGGGGGCTGCAACCTTGGTGTTCACAGTCAGGGCAAAGAAAGAGGGGACACAGCCCCTGGGCCCAGCGCTTGCGCGGAGCCAGACTCCAAGCCTGAGTGGCTCCCTGCTGAATGGCGGCCGCGTGGCTTTCTTTTCTTTCGCGGCCCTCACTGCCATGACAAGTATCGAGGGGCAGGGGAGGTGGGGAGGGAGTTTTGAGGTTTCTCTGGACTCTCTGGCCTCCATGACAGCCGGGAGCTGCTGCGACGCTGGTGCCCTCCTGTGCGGGGCCGGTCCTGTGTGCCGCCCCGTCTGCCGCAAGCACTGCTTCCTCTTGGTGGAAAAGGCCTCACGCTCAGGCATGGATACGGACTGACACGTAGTCCTTAGGGAATCCCCTTCTCCATGTAATTCAAGGGATCTGTGGTGGAGTGGCCACAGGAGGCGTGACCGTGCCAGTGACTACTGGACCATCTGAAAATGTTGCCAGCGGCCTCACCTCACTAGCAAAGGGCAAGGAGGATGCTGTCACCTCCCCTGGTCCCCAGGCTGGCGAGACTGATCATCCTGTGCCTTTCACAGGCTGCAGGGGCTGCACCCCATGACACCATTTTCCTAAGAAAGTACATTCCCAGTTCTGAGGGCTCCTTCCAGGCAGCTGCTGTGCCCCACAGGTGGCATGCTAGTCAGCAGGCTGTGTGTGCAGAAGCACACAAGCAGTGTGGCCTGTGGGTCGCAGTGTGGCTTGGAAGTCCCAGCCCTGCTCCCAGGGAGGCCCTGATTTGTCCCTGCCTGAGTGACAAGAGCAGAACATACCTGTCCCTGTCACCGTCCTTCATCTGAGAAATCACATCGTTTTCTCTTCCAGAGCAATACAAGCTGCTTAGTGACCACATTGAGCAAATGGCCACTGAGTAGGCCCCAGAGGTTGCACTCTGCAGGAGGACTGAGGCCACGTGCTGTTCTCCCGGGCCTGGCGCCTGGCTGCCACCCCACCCAATGACCTGCATGAAGCCAGCAGCACCCAGAGCCGCTCCCGCTGCCCTAGAACTAGCGGTTAGAAGAATCCGCTGTTCCTCCCTCCTCTCCTCTGCCTGTGTCTGTGCCCCCCATCCATGTGCCAAAGTGTCTCTTGGGTCACACGGCTAAAGCCAAGGTGACCAGCTGTACTCTGAGTGCCAGGCTGGTGAGAAGAGACCAAGAGGGAGGAGGGGAAGGACGCCATGGGCCATTGAGGGCCAAGGGCTGGCGAGGGTGGGGGCAGGCGAGAGACACAGGCAGGATAGCCTCGAAGAGGGGCTGCAGCCCTCCAGTGGCAGAGGACTGGCGCTGCCGCTCACAGTGGGTGGCCCTGGGCCATGTTCCTGCAACGGGGCTCCCTGTCCGGCCCTCTCTGACCTTGAGGAGGAAACACCTGTTTTAGGGAGAGGGCAGGTGCGGTGTAGAGGATGCTCTTGGCTGGCTAGAGCAAGACCTGGCACCACCAGAGGGACATGTGTGTGCCCGGCAGATGGCCTGGGATCTATGTGTCTGTCAGAGTCACAGCAGTGCTGAGGTGTCTGCAGCAGACCACGCAAACCATCTGAAATGTGCCCTGCCTGGCCGACAGCTCCCTTCTGAAGCAGAGAAGGCTCTTCAGTCATGAAGCAGTGTTGTGCCGTGTGTCCCACACAAGCAGTACAGGAAAGAAGTTTCTTTAGTAGCCGCTAGCCAACGCCCCTTTCTAAAGGCAGACAGTGCGGCTCTTTATTCCAGACGAGGCAGGAAAGTCTGAGTCGGGGTTGACAGCTGCTGGAGAGAGGCAGTTCTGGGCAACGCGCAGGGCAAGCCAGTGTCACGAACTCCGCCTCCAAGCGCTGAGCATTGTGTCCCTGCCCCCAGGGTCTCCGGAAGGCGCTTTTCCTTCCCCACCAGACCTTTGCAGCTCCTTCCTCCAGCCTCTGCAGACGCGCCCTTCACCCACTGCCCGGGAACCACGGCCCTTCTCTTCTGTGGGTCTGTACCACACATGCTTCAGGCCAGCCCGTGGGCCCGAGGCCTGACTCCCAGCAACTGCAGCCTGGCTCCGGAGCCTCCTGTTTCCCCATGCGTGGACGCTGCCAGCCCACCTGGGGTTCCCTGCCTCTTGCCCATCACCACTGCGGTCACAGACTGTGAAATAGGCCCATGGGGCTCTCCCTCCACCTGCCACCCTCCCCTCCCGTCCTTCCTGGCTACCTCCTCTGACATTGGGTCACATAAGTCCCGTCTTGTCTGTCAGCACCACAGAAGCGCCTGAGAGTCACCTGGCCACTGCTTGGAAGGTTTTCCTCTGGGGAATGCTCCCCAGAATGTTCCAGAGACGAGCTCAGACTGGCTGCATCACAGAACGTGTGTCTGGGGCATTACCTGAAACATGGTGTCATCTGATGCATTTGGGCCCCATGCTGCCAGCCTCCAGAACTGGGGAGCTGGGGCTCAGGCCCCTGACTGCATGGCATGTGAGGGATTTCAGCCTGGTGATGCTGCTGGCCAGAGCGTGGCCATGCTGCAGTGCACCCGCCGTGAGCTGGGCAGGGACGGGGGCTTGTGCAGGCTGGGCTGCCCCTCCCCCATGGTTGGGCCCTGACGACCGCGTCTCCACCAAATCGATTAAGAGAAACATCAGAGAGAGGGGTGTGTGGATGCCCGTTGCTCTGATGCCAATTGCAGATAATACGCGCCTCCCGCAGTGTCCAGCTGTGGTTCCAGGGCACTGCGCCCTCCTCCCTGCCCCGGTGAAACTCAGGCCACACTCAGGGCTGACCATCGGGAGCTCCCTTCAGCCGTCTCGTCGTCAGCGTTCTTGGTCTTGTGTGATTCACGTTAGCTGAAATGCATTAAGACTTGGCCCTGTGTGGATGGGATTTTTGTATGGAAGTTTTGATTTGTTTGGTTTCTGGGTAAACTTTGATTCTGAGACTCTCCTGGGGGTGCTGGAGCACGTGCACAGCCTCTGCAAGGAACGCGACGCTGACTTCTTCGGGCTTTTTTCCAAGCACTTTCACTTCAAAAATGATCTTGACACTTTTTTGTCTACATAGACCTCTTGAAATAGCCATTTCGGGGAGAGGAAAGGATTTTGTTTTGTCTTTCCCCTTCACTGCCTGTTCTTATAGATCTAGCTCCTCAAGAGTTGGAAGAAGCCTGACAGGGAAGGGTCACCTCTGTACTCCGTCCACACAGGACGCCACCTAAGAGACAGCCTCCCATGCTGTGAGCAGAGCAAGCAGTGGCTCGGGAGGCAGCCTCCAGCCTCCTGCCGGCTGTGGGTCTGGCCGAGGTCTCCTGGAGGAGGCCCAGTGTGCCTGGGACAGGGCTGACTGCCTGCCATCAAGGTTTCCTCTCTTCGCCCAGGGTCTGAACAGAGCAGGCATGAGCTGGCCTCTGGTGTGGAGCAGGCAGACCCAGCCACGTGGCTCAAAGGTCCCTGCGTGGGGAGGTGGCACACCCAGGGCCACCTGGGTGTAGGAGCTCTGACGGCCCCTCTGTAAACTCAGGAAGTGTCAGGTGATTCCTAGGGAGAGGTTGCCAGTCCCAGCGGGCGGCACAGGGGCATTGCAGGCGCTCTGCCCCCCAACTTCAAGGGCTGTGCGAATCCTAGTGAACCAAAATGCAAACCACTTGCTCAAGTGCAAAGCTCCCTGCGTTGAAAACAGGATGTGTTGAGATGCAGCACTGTATGTTTTTAGCCTTTGTTACAGTTTTAGCAACATTAATAGATGTTTAAGAGGGACCATGTTCATAAATTGCATCTGCTGTGTGTGTGTACGGTGCACACGCGCGTCTGACCAAGGGCCAGAGAACTGAATTCTGATGTCATCAGTTATCTGTAAGTGAACTGGGTCGACGCTATGGTTTTCCTATTGCCAAAAGCAAATTGGGCCAAAGAGCTCTGAAATTTCCAAAAACGGGCTAGAGGGAGAGTCTGGTTTCTGAGCCTGTACCCAAATCAAAATCCTAATGTTCAGGTTAATGCAAGGAACACATGTGGGGTTTAGAACCAGCACTGAGGCCCAGCGCGGGAATCACAGACACCGCTGACCCTTCTCCTCTTTCCTCCTCTGAGTTAAAACCAAACAGGCCTGTCTTTCTCTCCTCCAAGCCCAGTCACACCGTGGAGTTCCGTTATGAGGAAAGAAAGTTGGAGCTGGGAGATTCGTTTTTTCTTGGGCTGCTCTGCGTGGGTATTCCAGACCCCTGACGTGAGGAATGCAGGTTCGCACCATAAAGAGTTTGTGAGAGGTATCAGTCTAACTGGAGTTCCTTAGCCGGAACCAGGGCTGTAAGCTACAGGCCTGACCTTCCTGGATCCCACTATGTGTTGGCTTTTTTTTTTTTTTTTTTTTTTCTGAGATGGAGTTTCACTCCAGTGATACAATCTTGGCTCCTCTGCCTCCCGGGTTCAAGCAGTTCTGCCACAGCCTCCTGAGTAGCTGGCATTACAGGCATGTGCCACCACACCTGGCTAATTTTGTATTTTTTAGTAGAGACGGGGTTTCTCCATGTTGGTCAGGCTGGTCTCGTACTCCCGACCTCAGATCATCTGCCCACCTTGGTCTCCTAAAGTGCTGGGATTACAGGCGTGAGCCAGGATGTCAGCCTCTGTTGGCTTTTTAATTAGGAAGGATCCAGGTAGGCCTGTGTGATTAGATCAGCTTTGTTACTGAATTACCTAAAACCAGACCACAACACAGCCAGGACGCCCAGTAGTGTTTTCAAGAACAGGGTGGAGCTTGAGAAAGAGGACTTTAAAAATTAGAGGGTCCCTTGTCACAGAGGAAGGGATGCTCACGGGGTGGCAGCGGCCCAGCCCCAGCCTCAGAGGAGAGGGAGGGCCCCTCCAGACCTGGCGGGCAGGCGTTCTGAGGCTGGTCTGTCTCCAGTTTCCGCAGCCACAAGGCAAAGCTGCCAGGCTCTCTCTCGAGGATCATTCGCACTCTTCTCCCTGTCCTGTTTCCAGTCCCTGTGAGCCATTCACTTCTGCTGAACCATTTTTCTTAGGACGAGGCCGTTTCATTCCCTTGTCCTATAAATCACGTATTCACGTCGATGATTCTTGGGAGATAGGTTTCGCTTCAGAAGTTCCCAGCTATGTCCCGCAGGAAAGGGGAGTCGAATGCCAGCTGCACCTCGCTTGGCTCGCACAGGCTAAGGCTGAAGACAGAGCAGGGCTTCCTGGAGCCACACAGGCCACACACCCCAGGACCCCCCGCAGGCCAGAAACAGGAATGTGTTGATGCCGGCAACACCCAGTGGAAGACCCACCTCCAGACTGTTCTCTTGAAGCCAGCACTGGCCACCAAAGCCACCCTCCACACAGGCTCTCAGGGGGCCTGCCTTGTGCACCTCGGTCCCCCATGCGTCCTTGGGCCTGGGTGTTACATCCTCTCCAGGAAAGGGATGGAATCATTCGTGATCAACAGGTTCACAAGAATGGGTGCTGAGCCCCGCCTCCTGGTGCTGGCAAGGGATTGGGTTTAGCCTGCAGAGTGCAATGAGTGAGCGCCCGGGGGAGCGCAGCCCTGCCTTGGCTGCACCTGGGGACGCACGTGGCCAAAGGGTTTCGGTGGAACAGCGCTCCACAGGAGCTGAGGGTGGGCATAGGGCTTCTTAGTTACTGTTGGAAAGGGAAAAACTCACCATGTCCACTGGGAGCAAGGATGGGCTGGTTTTGTTCATCCCAAGTTCCCTTCTACACCCCTCCTGCAGGACAGTGTGCAATTTGGGAAGAACCTAGCTCCCTACATTATCTGCAGACTCTGGGGCCTGACAAAACAGTCAGAACCTGAGCCCACTGTAGCCTGGAGCTCCCTTGAGCTGCGCTCTAAGGGACCTTGCACTTTAACTGGAAGGAGGAAGCCTGTCGGTAAATCCCCTGTGCATTGACTAGAACTGGGGGGGCTGCACCCGCTCCCTCCTTGATCCTAGATGGTTTCTCCATGAAATAGAGGTGGAGGAGGAAGGCATGCCCACAGGGAGGTGCAGCCCTAAGGGGTGGACTCCAGATCTCCCGGTGAGAGACAGAGACAGCTCCACATGGGTTCAGCTGTGGGGAGGAGCTCATGCGGTCTCTGGCAAGCCTGGGGCTGTTGCTTAGGGTCTGCTGGGTGGACACTTGGAGAAAGATAAGGCAAGCATTTGAACACTAGAAAATGCAAGAAACTCAACACACATGGATCCCTTAACACATGTAAATGCATCACAACATGGTTGACCTGCCGCCTTCCTGGACCCGGCAGCCCCTGTCAGGACTATCCGTGGCGTCTCCCACGTGCACACCCTCTGCTTTCTCTTTCCTAGACTTGGCGTGTTCACGTCCAGACATGGCCTTGTTGGTAGCCCCCAAGTGGAGTGCAGTGACACCAGTATCTTATCTGTTCCATTTCTGCAATTTTGTGTCCCACTCGGTGATGTTCTACAAACTATTTTAAGGTTGAGAAAGTTTCAAGGGTGAAGATCTCAAAACAGCGCTAAAATCAAAGGTGTTTGCTGTGAGGAAAAAAATATGTATATATATCGCACCTTAACTGATCAGAAGGTGGAAACTGAAATAAACTAAAAAAAAAAAAAAAAAAAAAAAAAAACTCTGTTTATTATTAACATATCCATGAGGACTTCTTACAGAATTTGTAATCTTCTCAGTAACATCTATAGCCTTTCAGAAGAAAACCATTTTTTCTTTTTCTCTTTTTTTTTTTTTTCTGAGATGGAGTTTCACTCTTGTTGCCTAGGCTGGAGTGCAATCTTGGCTCACTGCAAACTCCGTCTCCTGGGTTCAAGCAATTGTTCTGCCTCAGCCTTCTGAGTAGCTGGGATTACAGGCATGCAGCACCATGCCTGGCTAATTTTGTATTTTTAGTAGAGACAGGGTTCCTTCATGTTAGCCAGGCTGATCTTGAACACCTGACCTCAGGTGATCTGCCTGCCTCAGTCTCCCAAAGTGCTGGGATTACAGGCATGAACTACTGCACCCAGTGAAAATCTTTTTTTTTTTTTTTTTTTTTTTTTGTTCTAAAACCAAATAGACATTTTTCCTATGTAGGCTGAGCAGCCAGGTCTTGCCAGATGGGCGAGTGTGTGGGAGACACTAGAAGAAGGAGCCTCCCTCTGCAAATTCAGCAGCCACGTTGACCATGTCAGTCTGCCTGGCCACTGGGGGTCAGTATTCGTGAATGAGGGACCCCCCCCTCTCTGGACCATGTCTCAGCCCAGACTACACGGGCGCCTTGAACCCCTTCACCTGGACGGGTGACCCTGCTCCTTGGAGCCAAAGCCACCTTACCTCTTACATTGGGGCATTTGGGGGCCATCAGTTGTCCTGACCACAGCCTCCTACCCAACGCAAGCAGGGCACCTGCACCATTCTTTCCAACTCCACTCCACAAAAGTATTTCAAAAATTGGGACTGGGAGGGGGTTCCTTTTCTCTGATTGTAAGAAGTCCACACCCATGTTCTGATACTCTGGCCTAAACAGATGGGCAATGAGCCCTGGGAAGGAGCAGGACACGGGCATACCCCAGACCTCAGGGGTGAGATGCAGGGTCCCCCTCCCCTAGCTGCCTGCGTGGACTGAGGACACTCCCTGCCACCCAGGCAGAGGAAGAATGGGGTGGCCTCCATGTCCCCAGATCTCCCTCTGCCCCCTCAACCACACAGGGAGGGCGGGCATGGCTGGTGGGTGCACAGCCCTGGGGTGTTGCTTCTGGGCTTTTCCTCTGGTGCTGGGGGGTTACTCCCACAGGTGAGGGGCTAGACTCGGAGGCAAACTCCAGGGAGGGGAGAAACTCCAGAGACCCCAAAGAGCTCGGGCAACTCGAGGCAGGACCAGGAAGGGCCCGGATCCGGCTCCACCTTCAGCCAGCTGACTGTATGCCCTTAGCTGGATAATTCCTTGAGCCTCAACTTCTTCATGTATGGACCATGATGAGAGTCACTTGAACCTGGAAGACAGAGGTCACGGTGAGCCCAGATTGCACCACTTCATTCCAGCCTGGGTGACAGAGCAAGACTCTGTCTCAAAAAAAAATCGCTGCGATGAAGACGCCAACCCTACCTTGATCTTGTGAGGAAAATGTGTGTCCCCCACTTTGCTGATGAGAATAACCAGGGCACTCCACATGGGGATGTGGCACCAGGGCTATGTGGCTCTAGAGCTCAGCAGTTACCCACCAGGCCAGCAAGAGAGGCCACCGGCAGACCATTCCCAGCTGAGGTCTTCAGAAGGCAGGGTGCTAGCCAGGGACGAGCCCTGGACAGCGGGGATGCCCTCGAGAGGACTCTGCAGCTGGAACAGGCCCCCCGGGGTGGAAGGCTTGTGATCCTACCTAGATAGTTGGTAGAAAGAAGCTTCTGTGCTGTTTCATGTCCTCATAGAAGATTCAACCTCATCTGGAACTCTGGCTTCCATCATCTCTACAGAAACAAGGTGCTTTCCGGCTCTGAGCTGCTGGGCGCTGGCACTTTGTCAAGGCAGCCCAGGAAAGGAATCCACTGTTGGTGATGTGAACACAGGCGCCAGTACACCCGAGCCCCCGGACAAAAGGCAGGATGAGAGACTGGGGTCAGGCTGAGGGTCACGAGCATTTATTCAACACCTACTATGTGCCAGGCACGGCAGTTCCCCAAAGCAACCTCTGAGGTGAGCGATACTGGTCCTGCAGTACAGATGAGGAAACTGAGGCTCGGAGGACAGGTGGCTTGCCTGAGGACACACAGCAGAGCCCACCTGAGGATCCAAGGCCCACTCAGTTCTTCTGACTGTTGTGGGTAGTTCTCTTCCTATTGATGGGGTTCCTGCCCCAGTGCCCTGAGGTCCTCCACAGGGGCCTCCTCCATGGAGTCGTCTTCACTCTCTTCCTCTTCTTTCCTTGGGCTCCCTATGGTGCCCTGGGCACTCTAAACAATAATAATAATAAAACGACAGTGACATCAATAATAATAATAATGGCAGCAACATGTCTGGAGCATGGTGTAGATCTGTCCTTGGGTACTCAGCACAGCCCTGCACAGAGGTTCCTGTTCTGAGCCGCTCTGCAGGCGAGGACTCTAAGGCACAGACAGGCTAGGAGACTTTCCCATGGTCACACCGCCAGGAGCAGTGGGCTCGGATCAAGAAGCAGAGAGCATAAAGAAAAAACAATCAAAACTTCAGGAAACATCCGACACACCTACAGAAGTGCACAGTGCTCTGGGAAGTCTCAGCAATCGGATTGAACAGGTAGAAGAAGGAAACACAGAGCTCGAAGACAAGGTCTTCGAATTAACCCAATCCAACAAAGACAAAGAAAGAAGAACAGGAAAATATGAAAAAAAGCCTCCGGGCAGTCTGGGATTAAATGGCT